GAAGTTGGTAATCACTATTTTGTCTTCTCAAATCAGATTTCGATAAATCGAATGATGTTTCGATTTCACGGTATGTTCTTGATGAATATAATATGCACATTATCGGTGTAATATCTCCCACAAAATATTCTAGATGTAATGGTAAAAAAATTTATCATTTTTATTGACAATTCACATACAAAATAAAGTCAAACGAATGGTATTTGGTATGGTAATTTTTTTATTTTTTGCAATTGAAACAAATTCTAGATTCAATGGTAGAAAAAATCATCACTTTTATGGACAATTTTCTTGAAAAACGAAGATAAACGGATACCAAACTTTCAACATTTTTCAAGTGAAAAATTATACCAATCAAACACAATTAATTACAATTCCCAGTAAAACAATTTCTAGGCAATTCAATTCCCTGCAAAACATTTTATTTCCACCCATTTTCCACCTTTGTAATCAAACGGACCCTAACTTTAAATAACTTTTTATCTGTAAATCTACGCATTCAAATTACTATTTTCTTATTTTTAACTTTAAAAAGTTACTTTTTTTAATCGTAACATAAGTAATGTTTTTATCTTAAAATTTGCAAGCAATTTACGTAAAAGGAATTATTTTATGCTTAGTCAAACTATGCTCATAATAGTGAGTTAATGACATACAACGACTGAATATGCGACATAAAGGAAAAGCAATTCCTTGGACGAAACATATTCCCTTCACGTATCACTTGACCCTGCAAAAAAACAAGAAAAGAGATATGTCACCACGATAAGTTTAATGACATATTCAAAAATAGAGGAAACATGTTTTAACACATGATTGGACAATTTGAAAAAAAAAACCCCCCGTCAAGTGTTGCCACCCCATCCCTATCTAAAGCCCCTTGTTCACGGAGCATTATTCGCAAGCAAATGGGAACATAGTAACAAAAACTATATATTAATCAACAACATATTTTTTTACTTGAATTGAACTTAAAACCAAATATTTTCCAGAGATATTCATTCGTGAATAGATCAATAAGTGATTTAGACATATCGACGTTTTGATAACATCAAGAACTAATAACATAAGTTTTTAATTAAGTCATACTCAATGTAGTATAGAGTAGATAAATTAATGTTCGCAGTTTAAATATTTCGGCACCTATGTATAGGAATTATGCACATGATTTTTCCCTGATTTTTTTCTATTGAAATTTGGAGTTTTGATAGAATACGCTTTGATGGTAAACAAATTATTTGAGAAAGA